TCTATCTCTCATTCTTTCTCTCTCAAATAAATAAATAAAATCTTCTAAAAAAAAAGAAAGAAATTTCTTTTAACCCATTAAAAACCTGATTAAAGTACTTAAGTAGGATATTAACCCCCTACCTTGGTTTGGTTTTACATATGTTTAGTGTTTGTTTTGTTGGTAGTGTCAGTCTTTTGTTTGGTTTGTTTTTAGGTGAACTTATGAATTATGTGTAAAATTTGATACAGTTTGGCTTTATATTAGACAATCAGGAAATACTTCGCCAACTAGGTGACCTTCAAATAAGTACCTGAAAGGGGTGCCTGGGTGGCTTAGTGATTTAAGTGTCTGACTCTTAATTTCAGCTCAGATTATGACCTCAGGATCATAAGATCAAGTGAGTCCCCCATGCAGCCCCACACTGGGCTGGGCGAGCTTGCTTAAGATTGTCTCTGCCCCTGTCTCTCTGTCCCACTCTCTTCTCCCCCAAAAAATAAAATAAAATAATTTTAAAAAAAAAATAAGTACCTGAAAGAAGTAGTAAAGGAATAAGTATATAGGTGCAAAGAAGGGTCAGCATATGTAAAAGTTCTGAACACAAGTCTTCTTGACCTCTTAGAGGAACAAATAGCAAGGAGGTCATTTGTCACTGGAAGTGAGTAAGGGGGACAGTTGTAGAGATGAGGTAAGAGAGATAACCTAACAATGTATCTGATTATGTACGGCTATACAGGACAGGCTATACAGGACATTGTAAGAACATTGGATTTTACTTTTAAGTCAGTGGTTCACAACTGAAGGTAGAATTGCAGTTGTTACTGGCCTTCTAGTGATTGGAGGCCAGGAATGCTGCTCATTATCTACAATTGACAGAGCTATCTCCTTGTACCCTGACTTATGTGAAATAGGATGTCATTGCAGCATTTTGATGGAGGTGTAATACGTTTGACCTAACCTTTCAAGTTATTTTCTTATGCTGTTTTTTTTTCCTTGAGAAAATGACCATTATCAGATATTTGCAATGTGTACCCATTTTTCTAATGAACTTGAACAGTATACTCTGACATATCTTTGAAAATTTGTTAAAAGCATTAAAACATTCCTACAGAAAATTGTGAAGAAAGGCATACATATGGAACAATTTAGTTACAATTTTGGAGGTTTTTTGAACCCCGTCTTTGGTATTTATAAATTAGAAGGACTTTTAAGACCCTTAAAAGTTGTGTAGGTTTACAATTAGACAAGTCTAAGTGAATTGAAGTCTGGCTAGTAATCTGGTTTACTGAAACTGAACCATGTATTATTTCTTCTTCTTGTCGTCTTTCTTCTTCATTTCTTATTAATACTTTTGTGAAACAGTAATGTGTGTGAATTAAATCTCAGACAGCTTCCATTCTAGGGTAATTGAAAGGAGAGGAGTGCGAAAACTGGATCCTTGGCCTTAGGGCCACTAATCTGGACTTGAAATTGGAAGGCATACATGTCTGTTCACACTCCGCACCACATCATTCATATCCAAAGTTTTTTTTGTTTTGTTTTGTTTTTTTCTTACGATACGAAAGGTGCTAATGATTTTCCAGCAGGCAATCCAGAACTTTTCTCAAGGACTATGGTTGGGGTTGCCAGAATTTTTCTTCTAATTATTATTTTTTTGTTGTTGTTTTTTAAGATTTTATTTATTTATTTAATTGACAGAGAGAGAGAGACAGCGAGAGAGGGAACACAAGCAGGGGGAGGGTCAGAGGGAGAAGCAGGCTTCCCGTCGAGCAGGGAGCCCAATGTGGGGCTTGATCCCAGGACCCTGAGATCATGACCTGAGCTGAAGGCAGTCGCTTAACCAACTGAGCCACCCAGGCGCCCCTATTATTCTTATTTATTATTATTATTAAATAAGATTAGTAGTCAGGTAATTTTTGTCTTTTGAGGAAATATTTGAAAGTTAGAATGTGTCCATCTTGCATTTGTTATGTTCTTTTTCCAAAAAGATAAAAAAAATACATATATATGCACAAGAAAGTAAATACAGGACAGTAAGAATATAAAAAGAAACGAGGGGTGCCTGGGTGGCTCAGTCAGTTAAGCGGCTGCCTTCAGCTCATGTCGTGATCCCAGGGTACTGGGATCGAGTCCCGCATCAGGCTCCCTGCTCAGCAGAGAGACTGCTTATCCCTCTGCCTCTGCCCCTGCCTCTCTGCCTACTTGTGCTGTCTCTATGTGAAATAAATTTTTTAAATATTTAAAAATAAGTAAATAAAAATAAAAAGAAATGAGTGGTGCTACTGGAGTAAAATTACAGGTAGAAAAGTCAAGATGAAGCCATAGAACTAAAATCCTTCAAATTTGAACCATAAATTTATTTCAGAGATCTAGTAGGTATCAAGACAAAAGCATGGCATTTATCCACAAAAACAAAAATGTTATTTATAATGCTCTTTCAGTCACTGTTTAGCACCTAAATGTATTAGACTCTGTTTTTAATAGCAGTATCTCTCTTCATCACCAAATCATGAAAGAGCTTGTTTTTGTCAAAGATTTAAGATCACTATTCAACAGCTGAAATAAAAAGACAAAAAGCAGATTGATTACCGAGGATAAATGATTTACATCAGAATCATTGAAATTGCTTATGAAAATGTAGATTGCTGGGCCTTTCTTCCGGAGTTTCTGAATCAGAAGGTATAGACTGGGCTGAAGAATTTGTATTTTTAAGATGTTCCCAGTTTCCCACATAATGCTGATGCTTCTAATCTGATGGTCATATTTGAGAACCACTGAAAAATCAGATAACTTCACCTGTTTGAGTTTCCATGAATTGCTTCAAAGCACAGTTCCTTGAAAACGGTTCGAGAGGCCAAAAATACAGAGTTTTTATTATGGCATTTTCTGTTGTATCTAAAGGGTTATTTAAGGTTTTTCCAAGGGACATTTTAAAGAATACCCTGCAAATAATTACATTTACTTACGTATATTTGCTTTTTGCATGTTTCATTACCCCCCATCACAGTGCATACTAAAAACTATGAGAAGTCTAATATTAAGAAACCATACCCCAGTAATTTCCAAACTATTTAGAATTTGAGGTTTCACTCCCTGAAAGTTAGCTTAAGTTTATTCTATGTTGTTGCTATCTCAGTGTGAATGAGTTACAAGTCATTACCTTGTATTTTTGCAATGTCTCTCCCCTGTTAAAGATAAACTAGTGTAGAATAATTTATTGGAGCTTTTTTACTGATGGATGTAATACATTAAATAGAAAATGTTTTTATTTCAGAACTGTTCGTCAGTTGGCACAGGAGCAATTTTTTTTAATGTGCACAAGATGTTGCATGGGACACAGGCCTCTACTTTTCTTCATTACTCTGCTCTTTACCATTTTGGGGGTGAGATATTTTTAAATGGTTTTATCATTGTGATTCATTCTTAAAATCAGGAACATTTAGGAAATTACAGTTTTAACTTTTATTAAGATTTGCTTATGTGGGGCACCTGGCTGGCTCAGTCGGTGGAGCATGCAACTCTTGATCTTGGGCTTGTAAGTTTGAGCCCCATGTTGTTTTTAGAGCTTACTTTAAAAAAAAATCTTTTAAAAGGAAAAATGTGGTTATGCTTAATAAATAAAATAGTATCTTTTCCAGTGATTTCTGTACTATTTGTAGATTGATTTTTATTTGCTTTTTGTAAATACTTTCTTTGAAAAATAGAATTCAAACAGCGTTATTGTGTTTTATGTCATTGATATAAGGCGTTGCCACTCATTTTACCAATTATCTAGATTTTTAAAAATTAACATGAATTTTGAACATGACTTTGTGAATTCATATTATAATTATATTTCAGAGCACAGCAAGAGAGAGAGGTAAACATTCAGGTGACTATTTCACTCTTCTACGGCACCTTCTTAATTACGCTTACAACAGCAATATCAACGTACCCAATGCTGAAGTTCTTCTAAATAATGAAATAGATTGGCTCAAAAGGATTAGGGTAAGGCTATAATACTCAATTTACTATAGCACTTATTAAATTCACTGCCTTATTAAAAGAGGGTTTTATGATTTTGAGTATTTATGTTAAACAAAAAACCCCTGGGAATAATAAAAATAAACCAGATATACATTTCATTACTAAATTAGTAACTCATAATACATAGAACGTACAAATAGTTTTATTTTATACAAATGGTAAGTTTACTTCAGTTGGGACTCAGAATGCTGATGTTCTGTTTCCTCCATTTTGGTATTTTTTACCTATTTTTCCCATTATCATATTTAGAATATTCTTAAGGTTTTTTGTTTTGTTTTGTTTTTTTAACTAAAAATGTCTGATGGATTAGCATTTACATTTAACCACCTGTACCTTTCACTTATACAGAGTTCTGTTAGAATATATTTTTGAAATTGATAGCTTTTAAACTGTAGGTTAGCATTCTCCTGTTTCTCAGCTTTGGCACCATTGACATTTTACCATTATTCCCTGTTTTGAGGATCTATGATATGCCTTGTAGGATGTTGAGCAACACTCCAGCCTCTAGTTATTAGGAGGTGGCATCCCTTCCTTCCCATTTGTGAAAACCATAAATATCTCCACACATTGCCAATGTCTGGGACAAAATTCCACATTTAATGTTGAAAGAGGAAGGAAGAAGAAATTACATGAATGGAAATGTTTGGAATAATTAACCGCTTTCCTCTCCAGCTCACCTTTTGTTCTTGCTTCTTTTGTTCTCCTTTCCTGTGAATTAGGTTTCTTAACATTTTTCCTTTGGCAGGATAACGTTAAAAACACAGGTGAAACAGGTGTTGAAGAGCCAATCTTGGAAGGTCACCTTGGGGTAACAAAAGAGTTACTAGCCTTTCAAACACCTGAGAAAAAGTATCATATTGGTTGTGAAAAAGGAGGTGCTAATCTCATTAAAGTAAGTTCTAAATTTTGGCACTATACTGCTTACCATGACCTTTTAAGTGTTAACAAATCTATTTGATTGAGTTCTATAGTATTTTTCTTTGAGATACCGTCTTTGTTATTTGTCTTATTAAAATCTCTTTGAAGGCTGCAGTGATTTTGGTTTTTTTTTTAATTTAAATTATAGTTAACACATAGTATTATATTAATTTCAGGTATACAATATAGTCATTCAACACTCCCATATAACACCTGGTGCTCATCTCCACTCCTTCATCCTCATCACCTATTTCACCCGTCCCCCCCACCCACCTGCCATCTGGTAACCACCACTTTGTTCTCAGTAGTTAAGTGTCAGTTTCTTGGTTTTCCCCTCTTTTTTTCCCCTATGATCATTTCTTTCTTAAATTCCACATATGAGGGGCGCCTGGATGGCTCAGTCAGTTAAGCATCTGCCTTTGGCTCAGGTCACAATCCCAGGGTTCTGAGATCGAGCCCTGCATCGGGCTCCCGTACTCAGCAGGAAGCCTGCTTCTCCCTCTCCCGCTCCCCCTGCTTGTGTTCCCTCCCTCGCTGTGTCTCTCTCTGTGTCAAATAAATAAATAAAATCTTTAAAAAAAAAAACTCAATATGAGTGGAAGTATGGAAGTCCAAAATTCCATATGATTATATGGTGTCTTTCTCTGATTGTCTTTATTTAGCGTAATACGGTGATTTTATTTTTCAGATTTATGTATTTATTTTAGAGACAGAGCACACACAAGAGCATGGGTGAGATACAGGGAGAGAATCTGAAGTAGACTCAAAACAGTGTGGAGCCCAATGCAGGATTCTGTCGCACAGCCCTGAGATTATGACCTGAGCCAAAACAAGAGTTGGACTCTCAACCAACTGAGCCACCCAGGCACCCCCCAATACAGTGATTTTTTTTTTAAATAAATATGTGCCTCCTTTAATTCGAGAAATTTTAAAATTATAGTTGACACTTCAATAAAAGGGTTATGGGTGCCGAGCACTGATGTAATTGAAAATCTACATACATAATTTTTGACTTCCTACTAAGAATAGCTTACTATTGACTACAAGCCTTACTGACATCATAGCTAATGATTAACACTTATTTTGTATGTGTATTATATACTGTATTTTTTTTTAAGATTTCATTTCTTTATCTGAGAGAGAGCAGGGGCGGGGGGCCACAGAGACAGAGGGAGAAGCTCTCTGTTGAGCAGGGAGCCCCCATGCGGGACTCAATCCCAGGCCCTGGGATCATGACCGGAGCCAAAGGCCACCACTTAACAACTAAGCCATCCAGGCACCCCAGTATGTACTGTATTTTTAAAATAATCAAAGAGAAGAAAGTATACTTAAAGTACTGTTTGTATGCACTGATACCATAAGTTTACATGGTTTATAATATAAATCATCATGCCAATACTTGCATCAATATTGCCTTATATATGATAGAAAACACTGTAGATGTTTTATGTACTACTAACACTAGACATCAAAAAGGAAAAGATAAGGTGAAAAAGAAATTTATATTTATTCACAGGTGTAACAGTTCGTGAGTAGATAACAACGCAGCAGCAATATGGTTGGTTTTGGTAGCCAGTGTGTAGCGTATACGATTGCTTCTTGGTAGTCAGCCTATACGCTAATGAACAAATCATTATAAAATTTTAATGGCTTATGGTATTACAGTCACATTCATAATACAGAATTGGACACATAAATACATTAAAGAAGAAACAGTTACATGTGATGATTGGCTAATACACAGTTTCTCCCAAGTCTGAGAGAGAGGCATCTTTAGAGAGTAAGGCAATTCTTTGAAAGCAAAGTATAAAACAGTAAGAATACGGGCACATTATTAATTTTACATTAAATCTTACTCTCTGTATGCCTCTGTAAAGATAGGCTACCTTTAGGCTCTCCCTAAAGATAGACTTCCATGAGTCTTGCACACGATGTTCTATACGAGTATATGGTGATGCTGATGACATGAAACATCTCATGCAGTTCCTGCTGTAGGATTACTAAATTTTCACACAAAGACATACACAGACACAACAGGTAAGTATATTAACTGTACAGCATGATGATGATTTACTGTCCACTAAGTGGAAGGGGATCATCATAAACGTCTTCATTTTCCTTGTCTTGTTAGTGAGTAGGCTGAAGAGGAGTTGGTCTTGCTGTCTCAGGAGAGGCAGGGACACTCAGTGTAACTTTATGGAAATACAAAGTAGTTTCTGTCACACTTCCTTTTTCATTTCTCTAAAATATCCCTATATGGGTCCAGTCCTGCTACCGTATGCTTTAGTTTCAATGTCCATATCATGGAAGGGTCCATGTCATAAAAGAAGTCAAAAGCAGTCTTGAATAATCGGAGCCCTCTGCCAGATTGCATACTGTCAATTTGTTTTCTGGCATGGCTTCCTCTTTGTCTCCATCCGCATCATCTGGCCCTGGTTCAGAAGTTCTCATCTCCATCAAGTTGACTTCTGTTAAGTCTTCTGAGATAGTGGGTATTAGCTCTTGAATTTCTCCAAGATCCAGATCTTCAAACCCTTCACCCCCCACCTTTGTTGCCATTTCTACAATCTCTTTTATGACTTTACTTACTACCTCTGTTGTAAAGACTGTGAACTCACGCACAACACCCAGACACAGTTTTTTCCATCAGGAGTTATTTGGGGCTTGATGGCACTCACGGTTTTTTCTGTGACAAGGGCAGTATCTTCAATGGTGCAGTCCTTCCAGATTCTCGTGATGTTCTTTAGATTGGGGTTCTCTTCCCTAGCACTGACAGTTTGTTTCATATGCTGCCAATTGTGATGAACTTTAAAGGTCCTTATGACCGTCTGATCTGGGGGCTGAATTAGAGACGTTGTGTTTGGGGGCATGTAGACCACTTCAATACCTTTGGTGCTGAACTCATGTGGGTCTAGCCCATGAGCAGCACTGTCCAATATCAAAAGAACTTTAAGATGTAGTCCCTCACTGGCAAGGTACTTCCTGATGCCAGAGACTAAGCACGATGGAACCAATCCAGAAGAAGGGTTTTCATTGTCCAGGCTTTCTTATGCAACCAAGAGAGAGATTTCTCATGTTTATCTCTTCCCTTCAGGTATCAGGGACTTGAAGCAGTTTTCAAAGATAAGGGCAAACCTGATAGGCCTGGCTGCATTTGCACAAAACAGTAGACTTGGCCTATCCCTTCCTGACTTAAATCCTGGTGCTTGCTTCTCTTCCTTTCTGACACTTTCTTCCAGAATACAGCACTTTTGTCTGCATAGAAACCTCAGGCAAATATCCTTTTCCCTCGGGGATTTTCTTAATGGTATCTGGGAATTTGTCTACTGCCTCTTGGTGGCACAGGTTGCTTTCCCCCGTTTTCTTGACATTTTTTAAGCCAAACTTCTTTCTAAAATTATTGAACCATCCTTTGCTGGCATTAAATTCTCCAGCTTTAGATCCTTCACCTTCCTTTTGCTGACTTTTCCTTTTTCTAGTATTGTATTAGAGTCTATAGGTATGTCTCCCTTACAGCAATCCCATACCCACACGAAAGCAGCATTTGAAACATGAGACGAAAAGGTATTTCAAGGGACGCCTGGGTGGCTCAGTGGTTAAGCTACTGCCTTCGGTTCAGAGTCCCACATCGGGCTCCCTTCTTGGCGGGGAGTCTGCTTTTCCCTCTGACCCTCTCCCCTCTCATGCTGTCTCTCTCTCTCTCTCTCTCAAATAAATAAAATATTTAAAAAGAAAGGAAGGGGGAGGGAAGGGAAGGAAGGAAAGGAAAGAAATTTCACAAAAGACAGTGATGCGTTGTTGCACCTGCTGGCCTGGCTGAAAGTGGATGACTTCATGGATTTCCTTTTATTTTTTTACAGTCCTAATGCTGGATTTGTTTATCTAGACCTGAATCAATGCTGCATGTCAAGCAATTCAGTTTTTTCATGTAATCTCATGACTTTTCTCTGCTTCTTGAGAACACTTCCAGTATCACTAGGAGCACTTTGTGTGGGTACTGTTACTCAGGGTTTACAGTATTGCAGTAAAAACAATGAAAAATACATGAGAACAGTGAAAAATCTTTTACTGTGATACGCAGTTTTAAAGAGACAAACTACTCACGTAGTGATGCTTATCATCACAAAGTGTTTCAAGGGAATACTCAAAATACTTGAGCTCACTGCAACAGCCACAGGCTATGAAATTGCCATAATATGTACTATAGTGAGTTTTTAGCAATTAAGATTGAGTACTGTATCTTCGTTCATCTACATTTCTCTGGACTGGAATGGCACCATGTACATGTGTGGACACACTTGAATACCTGATAACCTTTTCTAACTTGTGTATTTTACAGATAAAGCAAGCTAGTATCTACATATATTTTAAAGATTCATTACATAACATTCCCTTAATTTTGTGAATATTTCTAGGCTTTGTGGTTCATCTGTGAGTTTTTATAGACTGTTTCAAATCTCCAAAAACAGTTCCAATACATGCATGGATAAAAAGCCATTGTATAAGTGGATCCAATTCATGTAGTTCAAGTAGTTCAAACTTAACACTGTTCAAGGTTAACTATAATTGTAAATCAGAGTTCAGTAAAATGTTTAAGAATGTTAATGAGTAACATTTGATTTGGTTATTTAGTTAATTTCAGGGTTTTTTTAATCAGACCTTTAAAGAAAACTTTTATCTTGGAAGACTTCATTTTTTATGTCATTTTTGATGAATTTCTTCTGGTATGTCTTAGAATTCAAGGAAAGTGTTCTTTTTATTTCAATTCATTTTATTTTTATTCAAAATTATTTTAGTTCACATTTGATTACAGGAGTAGGTTTATTTAGAATATATATTTTTTGTTGTCAGCTTTTTTTATACCTAAAATACCTAGAATTGTGAGTTTCCTAATTGAACTCAATAGTGTAAAATAGAATTTTATATTTGAGAATCCAGATTTGTTTTTAAAATATAAAAAGATGTATTTTCTCAATTAAGTACAAAAATATTTCCTTCCGGGGCACCTGGGTGGCTCAGTTGTTAAGCGTCTGCCTATGGCTCAGGTCATGGTTCCAGTGTCCTGGGATCAAGCCCTGCATCGGGCTCCCTGCTCTGCAGGAAGCTTGCTTCTCCCTCTCCCACTTCGCCTGCTTGTGTTCCCTCTCTCTCTGTGTCTCTGTCAAATAAAAAAAAAAATTTCCTTCCAAGGTACACTTTTTCCTAGAATATATATTCTTTGCTAATAACATGTGATCTGTTTTTTCAACTCTAGGAATTAATTGACGATTTCATCTTTCCTGCTTCCAAAGTTTACTTGAAATGTATGAGAAATGGAGAACTGCCAGCTGAGCAGGCTATCCCGGTCTGTAGTTCACCTGCTACCATCAATGCTGGTTTTGAACTACTTGTAGCATTAGCTGTTGGCTGTGTAAGGAACCTCAAACAGATAGTAGACTGTTTGACTGAAATGTATTATATGGGCACAGCAATAACTAGTAAGTATTTTAACTTGTAAAGTTGTTTTGTTGGTTCAGATATCTCCATGTTTAAAATTCTGGGGTTTTTTTCTTCTAGGAAATGTTTAATCTGGGTGTGTTTGTTTTTAGAAACTAGTATGTAGCTTAACGATTTTAATAATCAAATATGTAAAGACCATTTTAAGTACTCAAAAAGAGATAAGTACAGAGCATTCACTCAGAAAAATTCTCCAGTTATATTTAAATGCCTTCATATGGGCGCCTGCGTGACTCAGTCATTAAGGGTCTGCCTTTGGCTCAGGTCATGATCCTGAGGTCCTGGGATCAAGCCCCACATCGGGCTCCTTGCTCCGTGGGAAGCCTGCTTCTCCCTCTCCCACTCCCCCTGCTTGTGTTCCCTTTCTCGCTGTGTCTCTCTCTGTCAAATAAATAAATAATCTTTAAAAATAAAAATAAATAATAAATAATAAAAATGCGTGCATATAGGTGTTTCAAGGAATTTGGCAAAATTTTTTATTTCATCAGTATAAAATAAAATTTAAACTTGAGTAAGAAGCCAAATTTGATGCTACAGGGTTTAGTATTTAAAAGTGGAAAAATTTTAAAAAAGAAAAGTCCATGAGTGGAGAGATTTGCAGGCCCTTACTTTGAAATTGCTTCATGTTATTTTAATCTGAGTTTTTAAAAAATTAATGTTTTGAAGATTACAGTGTGAAAGTAACACATGCATTTTATTTTCTCAGTTAATGCCGCATCAGTCTCATAGTATTGGAAGCTGTGTTTAGATCTTACTAGAATTGAAACTCAAAGAGAAGGGAGTAATTAGTAAAAATAAGAATAAATAACATAAAATCTAAGAGCTAATATACAGAACTAATGAATGAGTACATTCAGTAATAACCTTTAAGAACATCTGAAATTATCTTGGTTTTCCTGTCTTTCAGAGTGTAAGAAATTTTTCATTCAAATTTTCAGAGTTTCTAGCCAAAAGTTAGATTTTTTGGTACTGTAGAATCTACATAGATGTTTAAAAACTTAGTTTTGTTTCTCTAAATTTTTTTAGCTTTTGAATTTTATGGTTACTTCATTTACATATAAAAGAAGACTTAAGACTAAAGGAACTAAGCTCCCTTCCAATTCCATATTCCTATTTCAAAAATTGTGTATGCATATGCAAGTTGATATTTTGTATATCTCTGTTTAGATTTTTTCTTTTTTTTTTTTTTTAAGTTTTTTGTTTATGGGAGAGTGAGCATGCACACATAAAAGCAGGGGGAGTGGCAGAGGGAGAGAATCCCACGCAGACTCCACACTTAGTGCAGAGCCCAGCATGGGGCTGGATCTCGCAACTCTGATATCATATAATATCATAACTTGACCTGAAACCAGGAGTCAGGCACTCGACCAGCTCAACCACTCAGGCGCCCCTAAATTTTTTTCTTTTTAATACAAATTGGAATATACTGCATGCAGTGTTCTTCACTTTCTTTTTAGTTTTGCATTCAGTAAAAATCTAATAGCACATAAAGATCCATCTAATTCTACTTATTGGCCATATACTTTGTAATTTAGTATACTCTTAATTTATGTGATCTGTTTCCCAGATAGTGATGTTCAGATTATTTTTGATTTATATAAGGTGATGGAGGATATAAACTGATACACAGTTCTAACAGATCTTTGAAATATACTGTTTTATTAATTCCTCAAGATAGAACTGCGGGTATAGGCAAAGCAGTTTTTACTCCTAGTTTACACTAGGAAATTTAATATTATGCTATCTTATATGACTCTAGCAGATGTTCATAGAAGCAGCATCAGTAAAATGCGGACTCAGTAGTTCGGATCTGTATGGTGGTACTGAAATAAAAATTTGGAGCAACACTTACAGGTGGTTGTAGTAGTGATAGAATTATTGCTAATATTAATTTATCAGCATAACACAGTGACTAGTAGACAAAGTCATTATTATCATGTTATGAGGATCTTTTCTTTTCTCAGCTTGTGAAGCTCTTACTGAATGGGAGTATCTACCACCTGTTGGACCCCGCCCATCAAAAGGATTTGTGGGACTCAAAAACGCTGGTGCTACTTGTTATATGAACTCTGTGATCCAACAGCTGTACATGATTCCTTCCATCAGAAACAGTATTCTTGCTGTTGAAGGCACAGGTAGTGATGTAGATGATGATATGTTCGGTGATGAGAAGCAGGACAGTGAGGTAAATTTTAATTATCCTTTTTTTTTCTGTGTTTCAAGGTCTTGATTACCAGATACAGTTTTTTCTCTTAGAATATTACATTCTTGTAGGACTTTTTTGAACTACTTTTGATGACAGGACAAGAATCTCTGAGCATATCTTAGTGCTTATTATATAACAGACTTTCACAACTTTTCTGTTTGTTCTTCAAAGCAGCAGTTAACGTAATCATGTTTTGTGCAATGTGGTAAGTAAAATTCGGTGTTATAAAGTGACAAATATCTTTTATTTTAAAATAATTTATATTTT